TTTATCCATTATTTCATCAGCAAACTACTACGTGGCTGAATTCTTGCAGAAGTCCACCAAAACAAACCCGTCTGCTTTGCCACACAGCTCGGGGTGTCAATGTGGCAATGGTGATGAAAACAAAACTCAACAGACAGTGTCTGCAAGTGAGGTTAGCACAAACATGACAAGATAAAAAAAAAAAGTCAGAAGCTATTTTAAAAACATGCACACAAAAACATTTGTGTGCATGCATACACATAAACAAAAAGAACCTGGACCTGTTCCCCATTTCGTGCTTCTTGAGCACTCTCACTACCCTACTTCCTGTTTTCTTAATTTGTACCAAAGAATGGGCTGACATGACAGACAGACTGGCAGCCAGTCAGAGAGACAGAGAAACAAGCACATTTTATCTCCCACCCAACAGTGCTAAAAAAAAAGAGAAAGAAACCACATGCGCAGACGATAAAGAAAGGGTGAAGGCATTAAACAGACTCTGCAGACTCTATGGCGCTACAAAAACAAAGTGACGTCTTACTGTTCTTTATGAGGTATAAAGCGTTAAGACTAACCTGAAAAAACTGGTATGCCATGACACAGTCATCCATCACAGGGCTTTCCATCCCTTTAGAGAAACCATAGCGATGTGCGTATGATAAATTGCTGCTGTTGTACCAGCCAGGAAAATAGTATCTGGACAAGAGGGGTGATCATGGAAAAGAAGAGAAAAGAGAAAAAGAGAAGAAAAAAAAGTTTGAAAAATCTGAAACAGATTAAGGAAATCAGAAAAAAAAAACAACTAAAAAGTATAATTGTCTACCTGATTCTGAAGTGCAGTTTCTCACAGGATGAGTGGTCCACTTTAAAGACATGATTTGGGGCGAACCATGTTCGGTCACTTTCCCTCATTAGGCCAAACAAGCTGCAGTACACTGGACCAATCCCTGGAAAAAGAATAAATATACATATTGTTTTAAATTAATTAAGTCATTTAAATGTTTAAGGTGCTGTTAGTTTTACTCCTTTAGCAGCTATCTTCCAATCACTTCGTCCTACAGTGTCTAACATCATCCCCTATTTAAAGGTCACTTCAGTAAACACTTAATTGCACACATCAATAACCAGTTCCTAAATATAAAAAACAATTTCACTAAACAAACTGCTGATATTTAGAATTTTTTTCACACATGCAGGATGCTTTGTGGCATCACTGCAGCCTGCAAACAACTGCATTAACATGCTCAACAACAACCAAATATTCTCGTGTAGTGTATCTTCAGTTACCGCTGGTCGATATGCTTCCCCCCACATCGAAAGTCCCTGTGTGCTAGAAGTCTGATGATAATGATGATGATGTATATAGGCTAACAATGGATGGACGACTTCATATACATCCGTAGTAATAAGCATTTGTACAGTATTACGTAAAATGCTTGATAACCTGTCATGTATTTATATTTTTGTAGGAAATGGTGAAATTAATTTGTTGAAACATGTGTATATATATA